GCGCCAACCGCTATCAGTCATGACTGATGAGTTTAAAAAAACATAGTTATCTCCTAACTAACTGCTTCGCATCACATTGAATCCCAAAGCGCATGCAATCTGGGAAGAGTTTTATCACTTCACTTCACTTTATTAACTCAAAGACCCCCTAGAGGGGGTATTACATTAGGGGTGGGAAACATACAACAAATGTAATACATATGCAGCATGGGTACAAGTATGAACAGGGGTAACCAATACAGAAATAAAATAATACATGTGCAGAATCAGTACACATATTAACAGGTGTAACACCTTGCTAGAAAAAGAAGACAAAGTGAGAACCAGTGGCACAAAAAGGAACCATGTAATGTATTCAAATTGAAAAGAAACGAGTGACATTTTGTGTAAATTATGAGTAGCACATTATGGTGGCGAGATCAGTGGAAAGACCATTCCAGTCGGAAGCTGCACGAAAAAAGGAGGCGGAAAATGTCGTGGTACGGGCGCGTGGCCGGCCGACATGAAAGGAATGAGTGGTGCGGTGAGATATAGGGCGGGTGGCTGAGTCGACTGGGATAGAGCTTGTGGAACAAAATGAGGCTGGCAACTCAGCGACGAATGTTCAGGTTTGAAATATTGGATTCTTGTTTAGGAGATGAAACACTCACGTTATGCGAATACGAGGAATGAATGAATCTAGCTGCTCTATTCTGGAGTGATTCTAGTGCGTCGGTCAAATATGCTTGGCGAGGGCTCCAGATAGGCGACGCGTATTCAAGTTGGGTGCGAATTAAGGATTTATAAGCTTGTAGTTTTACAGGAAGGGGAGCATGACGTAAGTGCCGCTTTAAGAACCAAAGCGATCTGTTAGCTGATGATATGATATTGGTAATGTGGATGCGCCATGATAAATCGTTACTCAAAGTGACTCCCAAGTACTTGTATGTGATGAAATTTTCCAATGCAACTTTACCGATTTGATAAGAATAGGTGAGGGGGCTGCGACGATGGTGCAACGAGCGGGACTTGCATTTATTAGGGTTTAGTGTCATTAGCCAACGATTTCACCAGTTAAGCACATGGTTAACGTCATTTTGTAATGAAACTTGGGCTGATGTGTTAGTTATAGTACGGTATATTACACAATTGTCTGTAAACATACGAATATTGCTGGATACATGAAATGGTAGATCGTTAATGTATATTAGGAATAATAGGGGTCCAAGAACTGATTCTTGCGGGACGCCTGATGTTATTGCCAGAGGGTAAGAGTTATGTCCATTAACGGTAACGAATTGGTAACGATTAGTCAATTTTAGGGTCTAAGTTTAATTTCGAAAGTTTTGACATCAGGCGGTTGTGGGGTACTTTGTCGAATGCCTTTGCAAAGTCAAAAAAGATAGCGTCAGTCTGTATCTTATTGTCCAGGTTAGTGTGCAGATCATGAGCGAAAAGGGCAAGTTGGTTTTCACTGGGAAAAATTTTTGAAAGCCATGCTGTGCGGAATGAAAAAAGTTATTACTAATGAGTCCAAGAAGTGCATGATTTTGGTGTAAATGACGTGTTCCATGAGCTTGCAAGGCACGCTTGTTAAGGAAATGGGGCGATAATTGAGAGGACATGATCTATCGCCTGATTTGAAGACTGAAATGACCTTTCCTATTTGCCAGTTTATTGGTAGGTTACCTGTAAATAATGACTGACAGAACACTAGTGATAAGTATATGGCAGACATGTGCTTGGTATTTTCCAGAAATTTAGAGGTAATATCATCTGATCATGCTGAAGAAGAGAGATTGAGTTTGTCTAATAACGATATTATTCCGGAAGCGACGAAATCAATACTGGGCATTACAGAGACAATGCTAGACGAAAAAATTGGAAGGGGACTGTTAGTTTCGTTTGTGAACATGGAAGCGAATGCTGAGTTAAATACTTCTGCGCATTCAGAATCACTAACTTCCGCGCCCGAAGGATTATTCAAAATAATACCTGGAATTTTCTTAGGGTTAATTACCTCCCAAAATTTCCTAGGGTTATTTACCAAGATCTTCGGAAGATCAGTATGAAAAAATGTTCTTTTTGCGGTTCGAATGCCATTATATTAAATGGTTTCAGCTTCTTTATAGCTATCCTATGCGCTGGCGGTAGCTGCGTGTTTAGCAGCCCGAAAAAGTAGTTTTTTTTTTCTTATCTTTAAGTCGCTTTAAAAGTTTAGAAAACCATGGATTTTGTTGATTAGAACGAGAGGTGGTACTGGGAATAAACTTGTTTGTTAGCTCCTTAAGTTTATCTTCGAAAATTAACCAGTTATCGCTCACTGATCTTTCACTTAATGTTGTTTCAAAATGAGGTAGGAAGGCTTCGAGTTCAGCGTTTTACTGCGTTGTAATCCCCCTTGTCGTACAGACGTATAGTTTTACTGTATGGTTTGCGTAGTTTAGGGACGAATTCAAAAACAGCATAAATAACTTTGTGCTCGCTAATCTCAGGAAAGAGTGTGATATGTGACAAGCTTTCGGGTTTAGTTGTCAGTATTAGATCCAGAATATTAGAAGCTTCACCAGCAATACGTGTAGTTTCTGTTATTAGCTGTGTTAGGTTAAAATTTAAGCAGACGTTAATGAATTCTTTTGTTCTGGAGTGGCCTGTTATTAATTGGTTGGCGTCTTGCCAATCGGTGTCAGGAAGATTAAAGTCATCAAAAAGTAAGATATGCGCGGTAGGATATTTGGTAGTTAGCTGGTTGAGTATATCGTTTAAATATTGTGCGAAATTTGGGTCATTGTCCGGTGGTCGATAGCACACTCCTAGCAGAGTTGTTTCTGGTACAGCGCGGCAGACCAACCACAGGATTTCCAGCTTGCAAGGGACATTTATCAGTGAACAGGATAACTGTTTATTGACAGCGATAAGTACGCCACCGCCACGTGTTTGTCTCCTCTTTTTCCGGAAGACAAGAAACTCTGGCAATTCGGCAAGAACCTCACTATCTGTGACGTCATCCTTCAACCATGTTTCTGTGAGAACCAGTATGTTGCTGTCCGATGTTGATACAAGGTTTGATACTGCGTCGCGTTTTGAAAAGAAGCTACGTATATCAGTGAAGATTACAGAGAAGGAAAGGCTTGTTTTAGGTGTTGTAACATTAACACGTTTTGTTTGTTTTTTGGACGACGGGGCGATCGCTAGGAAATTTCGTTTACAGTTTGGGAGTTTTCGTTGAAAACGTATCTTTTTTTACCAAGAAACAAAGTCTTGTGTCGCGCGGAGAAGGGCTCAGATTTCGTACGGGCAAATTCAACAAGATACTTTCGGGCTTTTCGAACGGATTCGGAGAAATCTTCCCCAATACTGTAATTAGTACCTTTTAGTTTGCGTCCATTCGAGAGAATTTCCTCTTTGGTTTTAAAAAAAGTGAATTTGGCTATTATAAGCCGCTTGTGATCATGCCGGTGCCGACCAAGGCGGCGAGCACGTTCAATAAGTTTAGAATCGAGAGTTAAGTTTATGTGGTCGCGACAGTAGTTATTAAGTATTTCTTCGGAGTCTTTTCTTTTTCGGACGGGTTCGGATCAGGGAGGCCGTAAAAGATGAGGTTATTTCTTCTGAAATGATTTTCGGCGTCGTCAACCCGCGCCTTCGTGTCGCAGATTTGACGGGCCATTATTGCGGTGTTACCCTTAATTGTTTCGACATCCTTCTCAACTGTCACAAGACCTTGGTAGTGAACTTCAAGCTCCGTAATACGTTTAGTTAGATCAGCCATGACTTTGTTTGTTGTTAGTAGCGCAGATTTAAGTCCCTGTACTTCCTCGAGCAGTGTAGACTGACCCGTATATAACTTTTGCAACTCGGAAAGAATAAGGCTTGCTGAGAGGGGGTCTTTAGGTGGACGGTCCTTAGGGAGAGAGTTCGGGCCAGGATTGGATTCCACGTCCCCCGACAGAAGTAAGAGAGCACGAGCAACATTCACGCATTGAATGGCAAGGGCAAAACAGCAATGTGGGCTCGGTAGCTGTACCAAAGAATTATTGCTATTTCTTTTAGTGAAGAGGTCATATGGTACACTAACCTGCTTTGCGAAGACGAAAGGGTTAATGGACCGCGCGATGGCACAGCCACAGAGTCCACCTTTATAGCAAAAGAACTGCTACACCATGTCTCCAAAGGTCATCCATTGCATTCCAATGGCCTATAGCCACAACAGCGCTTGAGTGACAGGCTTGAAGTTACGACACGGAATTCACAGTGGGAAAACCCCCCCGCTGCAATATCGCGCGACGTGGCGGTGTTTAAAGAGTCCCTAAACCACACAGAAATTTAAATTGATTGGTGACGTTGCAGTTGTGCACAAGTATCTAACAAACTCCGGCGGAGTCACGTGCATCTAATAATCGAAACGCGACCTTTGCTCGTTTCGCTCTTCACTGCCCTGCGTTCGTCTCTCTTTCTCCTCGATCTGTAAGCAGAAAGACTGGAGAACATGCTCATTTTCCGCTTGTAATAACTAGGTTATTAAAAATTGAAGCGTGGTCATATTTTTGACAGAAACTACGAAAATCCCAGACTGTGCGCTTCGAGGTAAACAAGTCTTCCGATATTTTGTTGCAGATTCCTGGAGTTTGTTGTGAATGAGACATGATGAGTATCACAAACTTAGCGGTCTCAACTTTTGTAGAACTTTCAAACGCCAGTTATTATGGTATCGCTGGCTGTTCCCTATCCGACGTCGGGTGCTAGTGTGATGAAACACCTAGATGCTTTTACATCACGTGCCACAGCTATATTTTGTTGCGAATTGTGATAGCGTCTGGTCATATGATCAGCTAGTGTATTTTCTCGTGTAGCGTGGGCCAGCAACATATTCCAGAAGCTTCTGCATCACACATCCTCCTCTCCCGAGGATTCGTATCCAAAGAGAGCTTACGTGCTTCCTGACCACGCTTTCGTCTAAATTTTTCTCGCATTCAATCAGATAAAGCATCACTTAATACAAGAAACAGCCAAGCACGCACCTAATAAAAAACTGGCGACTGCGGCGGTGGCCATGCTTGACGATGCCACAAACAGCGCTTGGTCGATACGGAAGGCGTCGTCGGAGGCCAGACCCATGATGATGGCGAACACCGATGACAGCAGCGAGAGCACGCACGCCTGGCACTGCATCAACAGGTATTTGAGTGGGAAGAGCCACTAGAAAACACTCCAGTTCCTCTTTTCGAGGATAATCACTGTGTTGCCTTTTCACAAAACTGTGTCTCAGTGTCTAAGCGTCATCTTATGAAAGCATAAGCAAGGTTGAAGGACCCTGGCTCAAATAAAGTGACTCGCAAAGCTACTTTCAAGCGTGTGACCAAACAATGACCCTGCCTGCTAGCAGCCAACATCTGCTGCGATGTTTAACGGACCTGCACAAAAACGTCTGTGAATTACTACAGGTGACTGTTGTCAAGTTACTACTGATAACTGCTGTAAGCCCAGACGAAGACGCACCTTCAACAGCAGCAGGCTTTGTCTAAGAAACACTCAAAAATGTAGATTAGATACCCGAACTACTGTGGTGCCTCGCAAATGTACAATTCTTTCAAAAATTCCATCCATGGCGGTGACGGGCGCTGGTCTTTACTGAAAGCTAATCCAACCAAAACCCAAGCGACAGGGGCAATAGAATGCCAAGATGTCACTGTGTTACACAGTGTGTGTCATAAGTATAACCATAAGCTGGTAGCCAGGGTTCGATATATGGTGAAGTGATCGGGTGAAGTTGCTCGTAGGTTTCTCCGCCAAGCGAGTAGGCGGATTCCCCAATACAAGTTACAGTGGAATCAAATGAAATAAATGTCACAATAAAATGAGTTCACGAGAGCACAAAGGCAGCAGAGCCAACTGCATATGGTGCATGGAGGACATTATACAAGGATGCGCCGAGCATAAGGCCGCACTATATTCTCTCGACCTGTAACTAGAATAAGTCTATAATAAAGCGTCATGACTTTCTACATATGGGAACACAGATTCTCATGACTAACTGAAAATGCCGCATCAGTGACCATGAAAGTTTCGACCGACACTTATGTCACAATCACAAAAGACACATTAGAACGGTGCACTCACGTATATTCAACCCTTTTTTTGCGAATGAAGTTTTCCTTTCAGAAAGTCACTCCCCCGCATACTATTGACCACCTTGAAAGGTGAAAGAAAGTGGCATAGACAAAATAAAAGCTCTGGGGAGAGAGGGTTCACGTGTAAATGTAGCGACTGAAGAATGTCCGAGTAAATGTATCGCCAAAGTGAACGTTGGTGATTCTAGTTTCGTCACAAGGATAATCGTTCTCCCAAATATCGGCAATGAACCTAATTTGTGAATGCATTTGAGGAGGTAGTGCATTTCTGACAAGCATGCCGATTCGTATAACGACGCTTGCCGTGAGTCTTTATCCTCACACTGATGACGGGAATAGGCCTAATGAGCTCCACGATCACGCGTTGAGTTCTCTGCCTTGTGCCAGTGTCAAGAGACAGGTCTTCTTATGTCATAAATAGCGATGATGAGACAGCGGAGCGGAGCGAAATATTGTGCAGCTGCACACACAAGGTATTTCGATCGCAAGTGGCCGTTATAGAAACTTCAACAATTACCGTCGTCGCATGCAGAAGGGCATTGGCATGATGTGCTTGTGTTAACGTCTATTTTTTTCTTTACAGATACTCCAGTGCTTCCTCGGGCCCATTTATTGATTGATTGAAATGTGGGCTTTAACGTCCAACGCCAACATATGATTATGAGAGACGCCGTAGTGGAGGGCTCCTGAAAATTTTACCACTTGAGATTCTTTAATGTGCATCCAAATCTGCGCACACGGTCTTACAGCATTTTCACTTCCACCAAAAATGTAGCCGCCGAAGCCGGGATTCGATCCCGCGACCTGTGGGTCAGCAGCCAAGCACCTTAGCCACTAGAACACCGCGGTGATGATTGCCGTGGTGCAGGAGGCGAAAGGCGACATTATGAGGCAGCATTATGAATACTGTTGCCAAAGGCTTGAATTACGGTCTGCATACCCCAACTTTGGCCGCACAAGTGATTTATGTGCACTAGTTTCACTGTAGATGTCTCCTCATTGAAACATCTCATATGCCATTCGATTATTTCTATATGTTTTTGTAAGATTCTCATGGGAAACATACGGATTTCATGAGGTAACATATGATAATATTCGAACGGCATACGGGACGTTTTAATAGGAAATATGGTTTCCTTTTTAAGAACTGAAATTGCTGGAGTGCACCCCAACAGACGTTTACAACGTGTGGTTTCCCGCTCAGGTAACTCATAAATGTGATACCTGAGTATTTACCTAGCAAGATCAGTTCTCGTTGTGGCAGCATTTCCTATATAGAGCAAGTAAGCTGAAAGAGCATCTTTTTGTTGGTAACCTAACGGAATTTATTTTTGATATATTTATTTTTGATTCCCACCTTAAGGGGCACCATGCATCGATTGACTCAAGTGATTATTAAATTCGAAGCATTTCTTAGCGAACTTCAGTGACTTTGAGCGTATCTATCTATCTATCTATCTATCTATCTATCTATCTATATCTATCTATCTATCTATCTATCTATCTATCTATCTATCTATCTATCTATCTATCTATCTATCTATCTATCTATCTATCTATCTATCTATCTATCTATCTATCTATCTATCATTCTATCTATCTATCTATCTATCTATCTATCTATCTATCTATCTATCTATCTATCTATCTATCTATCTATCTATCTATCCATCTTGACGCCTATGACTTTAAGCTCTCCTGGTTGTTCTGATAATGGTATCAATACCAAAATTGGTGTCGCATAACATGAGTGTATGAAGAACAGATCTGACTAGTCATAACATGAAATTTATGACGTGTATGCCATAAATTTTATGATTTACATTTCATGGTCATGCAGCTCTTGCGGTGGTTTCGTTCACATGGCATGCTGAAAAATTGATATGGTATGGCATGATTGCATGGCGAACACAAGCGATAGACCCTTACATGAAAATCATGACGTACGTGTCATGTAACAACATGAATACATGCCATGCTCATGATGCGCTCGCGGCCGTTTAGCTTGCGTCACATATACCAAATTTAGTTTTACAATACGTGAATGAATGACGAACTTATGTGACTAGTCCAAACATAATAAACATGACATGCGTGTCATGTAACAACATGACTACATGCTACGCTCATGATGCGTTCACAGCCGTTTCGCTAGCTTCACATGTACCAAACTCGGTATTACGCAACGCGAACGAACGACATAGGTAAATGACACATCCAAACATGATAATCAGGACATGTGTGTCATGTAACAACATGAGTATATGCCACTTGATTATGCGCTTGTAGCTTTTTCGCTAACTTCCAATATGCCGAATTTGGTATTACGTGATGCCAACGAATGACGAAGATATGTGACGGCTGCAAACATGATAATCATCAGATGCGTGTCCTGTGAGAACATGACTTCATGCCACAGTCAAGGCGCCAATACATTTTAACGTGACGTGGTGCACGGGCTCACCGGCGTTGATTTCGTCACGTATCGCCGGTGTCGCCACACCGTGCGCCGGTCCTGCCATATACTCGCAGGCCCGCGCCACGCTGCGTTGCTTTGACGCATGCGTATTTCAGCGTGTCTGCCGTCCCTCCGTCACGAAAAGAGGGAGGCGCAGTGTTGTCTGGGTAACGTATCGGCCCGAAATGCAGCATGTCGCATTTCACGCCGGTTGCTGTCGGGCCGCGCTGACAGACGCTGATCGCGCCTGGCGTTAGACTATAGAGTGTTCGCGTTTTGCTAACGTAGCGTCACTGTGCCCAGAGTGCGCGCGCATCAACGCTACAGGGGAGTATATTGGGCCCTTCATGATGCGCTCGCGGCCGTTTTACTAGCTCCACATATACCAAATTTAGTGTTACGTGATGTCAATGGATGACGAAATATATGACTGGTGCAAACATGATAATCCTGAAACGCGTGTGATTTAGGGACATGACTACATACCACGCTCATAGCGTGCTCACGGCCTTTTTTCTAGCTCCATATACACTAAATTTGGTATCACCTGCCGTGAATAGATGGCGAAGGTAAACGACACATCTAAACATGATAATCATGACATGGAAGTTAAGCACGGCATCATTTACCTCCACCTCGTAACGTTGTGCTGATTTTAAACTGGCATATCAACATTTCTCATTCGTGCTTCGCATATAATCGGTTCCCTCTGTACGCGAGATCTGCCAATTTTTTTAGTCTGATTTCTTCATATTTATTATTCATGGTTGTGTATACTCGTCCGCCGATGGTTGAATCTGGATTAGTGGTCCAATACCAAGATGAATATCATTATGATAAACTAAAACAAAGTGACTGGCACGAATACTGCGCCCTCCGGAATACCAGAGTCCACATTCACCTTTTTCGACTAAGACCTAGCGACACAGTACTATATAAGTGGCATTCAATTCGCGCCACTGCTTCTCCTTCATTGTCTGTTTTGCCATTAAATCTGGATGTGAAATAAATGCCTTGAAAAAATAAACAAAATTGCGTTTGTCTGGCATTTCGTAATGAGTGGACTATCAATATTCATCAATTATCTCAGCTATAGTGGCAATGATAGATAAATCAGACCTGAATTCATGCTGTTCAGCACAAAGTGCATTGTGACTTTGTAAGCGAGCAATAATGGCCTTAAATTATTCTGCTGGAATAATATACAGGAAGTACTATTTAGTGAAACGGGCCTCCTGTGGGTAATTCAAGAGCAGTGCCGGGACGTTTTCTTATAAGCAACGGGATTTTTTTCCGAGTGCTGGTCATCAGAAATGGCTGCAAGTTTAACGATAAAGTGTAATGTTATCTAAATATTTTGCCACCCGGGCAGCTTATCTACTTAAGAAACTATGCGTTAGTTTGTCAGGATCAGGCGATTTCATCTCATATAGTTTGTGAAGAAGTGAGAGAACACCTTCCTTAAAGATTTCTACTTCTCACATAAGGCAACCACAATCGTACGATTGTAACTAAGCACACAAAGCAACCGCGTTAAAACAGTCTGGAGAAATCATCATATTTGTTGGCATTGGTTA